CCCGCAGCAGGTGCCAATCAGGGTGCAGTCAGCAGTCATCGGAAAGGTTTGGGAATTCGGCGGATCAAAATTTTGCGCAGGTAGGCTTAGACTGGCCCTAACGTAGCCATCACTATTGCTCTCCACAGGTTACCCTTAACATTTTGAAGGTGAAATCAGGAGGTTAATTGGGTCCAGTGATTTAGAATAGTAGGGTACATCGTGCACTGTAGAACAAAAGGCTAAAAAATCGTGTAGCCGTTAACCCTATTATTTAGGGAAGCCGCTTGATCCGCAAGACATTGACTGCGTTGTGCGAAATGAACCAATGACTGCCATGGTAGTACAGTTCTTTAGGAACTGCACACCAGTGTCGGCCTCGCCCTGCCTTCCACCCCCCCCCATGCTCCAGTCCACTGTCGAAGCCTGTCGACCAACTGTTGCTGGGATTTGACGCAGCATGTGGACCTTCGTCTGAGACATGTCGCAGTTGTCTTGGCCTCACGCGGACTCAGCGCAGCCCGTTGTGGGCGCCAACGGAGTCCGCCGGCGGAACCTCAGCACTGAGGTCGCGTACGGGTTACCATTGGTTTCGTAGCGATTCATACTTGAGGGTTCCCAGAAGAAGCCAGTGCAGCGTGCATACGTAAGCTCATGGAAATTTCTGAGGCCTACGGCACTGTCTGGAAAGATGTATTGTTTTGAAAGTTGACCGAAAAAGGGGCCTTGCCTGATCTGGCGGACCCAATCCTGAATCCTGAATGGAATTTAAGTTGTCGACTCCGGTGGGGCCGAGGAAAGGTAGTTTTCCGGCAGGCGCTCGCACCACTGTCGCGCGTGTTCTGCATCGCGATGGAAACAATCATAACGCGAGACACCGTTCTGTCAGCTGCTTCGCTGACAGTGAAATAATCTGGACCGAAGGAAGTTCCGGGCAGTGCGTGGCAAATGGCTATGGTTGCACTGCGGTTTAAGACAGGAGAGTAAGTCTTTCAAAATTAGCCTCCAATCCACTGTCTTCAACAAGGCCTGTGGCAACCGAGAGGAGACGGTATGATCTTGGTATGCAGCCATGCATTCGGGAATAATACTATTGGGCTACTGATTCTGAGTAGGTGTGATTACGCGGACAACACAAAAGGTCTCGAGCGAGTGGCTAGGTTCACTGCCTTATTTCAGTAGGCGGATGGGCTACAAAACGGAATGCGGGTCGTTAGGGTCGCAGTTCTGACGGTCAAAGTCTCGATCACCGTGCACCCTGGCATGCAATTTCACTCTGCGTGACCTTGTCGTTCCGTCCGCAATAGTCTTTCCACTGTCCAGTGCACGCGCTATGCCAAAACTACTGGCCGTAAAGTTAAAAAATCTACAGGGTGACACTACCAAGTTTTCCTTGGCGTGTTGATTCGGCAGCATGCATCTTCAGTCGACTTTGGTCCTGTTTCTCGTGATGTGGACATCCTCCGTCGTGGCTTCTTAGCCGATGGTCACACCGAAGAAATAGTCTAGGGGTAGGTTTCCGTAAGAACCGTGGGCAGAAGTGAGAGTAGAATACGGCCAAAGTCCAAGTAGATGGGTGCCGTAATCGTGTTGTATGTATACAATTGGATGCAAAGCGAGATAAACATGCTGTGTACTCAAGGGCCACCGTCACTTATGAGATTCAAACATAGGAAATCGGCATGCACAATGAGTGTGGGGAGTTGAGACTATTGGTTCAAGGACGTGAAGTCTAGGGTCACGCGATCGTTAAGTCAACCCATGAGGCGGTTTGTGCGCCACGGCAGGGATGACAGAACAGTGAACTGACTGGCTCGATTCGAAATAAAAAGAGTACGTCTGGGTTCTCCGGCCTGGGGGGAACACACGGCTGGTGGCATAACGGCAAGGGTCGGAAAATAGCGATGAAATTGGACAACGGTATGGTGAAGGACCCCAATTAGCTGTAGACATACTGTGGATCGTGCCGTACGGGAATGGTGGCGATGAGGGGGCAGTACATGCATCACACGGTATCGTCTACAAGATACCGTGTGATGCATGTACTGCCGTCTATTGTGGCCAGACTGGAAAATCCGCCTCAACACGCATCCATGAGCACCAGTTGGCAGTAAAGAGGCGAGACCATCTGTCTCAGGTAGCCATGCATACGCTGGACACCGGGCACACTTTCGCTTGGGACAAAGCTCGCGTTGTCGCGGTCTGCCCTTTCAAGAAAGGCCGAGAATTCCTCGAGGCGATGCACTCTGATGACTCATGCATCAACCGGCATATCGAGTTGGATGCCGTGTACAGAAACCTGAAGGAGAAATGGAAGAGAAGGGAGCCAACCAGCTCAGGCTGATACACGGCGGCCGCCAACCGACGCACACGCCATGCAAGCATCGATTTTTTGTGCACTCTTGATGTTAGCTGATTCTCGCTTTCACATTTGCTTTCCGCTTGCGTCTGACGAAGACCTGGGGAACCAGCGTCGAAAATTTACGCAATAAACCCTCTTGTCCCGAAGAACCCATCTCTTTTCAATATATATATATATATATATAATGTTAGGGGGCGCTCACCGATCGTTCATACGGAACTCACTCGTTCCGTTGTGCCTTATGGACTCTCTCTCTCGAGCCCAACCAGCAGCCGCACAGCGGCGCATGATATATAGGCAGAATAGTATTACCGACAAAGACAAGGGAGACTGGAATGGCCATTTCTGGCTTATTAGCCGTCGTCAGCCAGCCATACCCAAGCCCGAAGTGTGGACCATCCGAGCCTCGAACTCGCGACCTGTTGGTTTAGAAGTCAACGCCTCTACTCACCGGGCCACGAGCCCGTTGCCTTGTCGGTTTTCGATCGGGAATATACAATGTTAGGGGGCGCTCACCGATCGTTCATACGGAACTCACTCGTTCCGTTGTGCCTTATGGACTCTCTCTCTCGAGCCCAACCAGCAGCCGCACAGCGGCGCATGATATATAGGCAGAATAGTATTACCGACAAAGACAAGGGAGACTGGAATGGCCATTTCTGGCTTATTAGCCGTCGTCAGCCAGCCATACCCAAGCCCGAAGTGTGGACCATCCGAGCCTCGAACTCGCGACCTGTTGGTTTAGAAGTCAACGCCTCTACTCACCGGGCCACGAGCCCGTTGCCTTGTCGGTTTTCGATCGGGAATATACAATGTTAGGGGGCGCTCACCGATCGTTCATACGGAACTCACTCGTTCCGTTGTGCCTTATGGACTCTCTCTCTCGAGCCCAACCAGCAGCCGCACAGCGGCGCATGATATATAGGCAGAATAGTATTACCGACAAAGACAAGGGAGACTGGAATGGCCATTTCTGGCTTATTAGCCGTCGTCAGCCAGCCATACCCAAGCCCGAAGTGTGGACCATCCGAGCCTCGAACTCGCGACCTGTTGGTTTAGAAGTCAACGCCTCTACTCACCGGGCCACGAGCCCGTTGCCTTGTCGGTTTTCGATCGGGAATATACAATGTTAGGGGGCGCTCACCGATCGTTCATACGGAACTCACTCGTTCCGTTGTGCCTTATGGACTCTCTCTCTCGAGCCCAACCAGCAGCCGCACAGCGGCGCATGATATATAGGCAGAATAGTATTACCGACAAAGACAAGGGAGACTGGAATGGCCATTTCTGGCTTATTAGCCGTCGTCAGCCAGCCATACCCAAGCCCGAAGTGTGGACCATCCGAGCCTCGAACTCGCGACCTGTTGGTTTAGAAGTCAACGCCTCTACTCACCGGGCCACGAGCCCGTTGCCTTGTCGGTTTTCGATCGGGAATATACAATGTTAGGGGGCGCTCACCGATCGTTCATACGGAACTCACTCGTTCCGTTGTGCCTTATGGACTCTCTCTCTCGAGCCCAACCAGCAGCCGCACAGCGGCGCATGATATATAGGCAGAATAGTATTACCGACAAAGACAAGGGAGACTGGAATGGCCATTTCTGGCTTATTAGCCGTCGTCAGCCAGCCATACCCAAGCCCGAAGTGTGGACCATCCGAGCCTCGAACTCGCGACCTGTTGGTTTAGAAGTCAACGCCTCTACTCACCGGGCCACGAGCCCGTTGCCTTGTCGGTTTTCGATCGGGAATATACAATGTTAGGGGGCGCTCACCGATCGTTCATACGGAACTCACTCGTTCCGTTGTGCCTTATGGACTCTCTCTCTCGAGCCCAACCAGCAGCCGCACAGCGGCGCATGATATATAGGCAGAATA